GAGGGACCCCAGCAGAACACATGAACCTGTCTGTAAAATTGTGCAGCCGTAGAACTTAGATACATACAGCTTCCATACACTTTGATTCTTCTCTAGACAATGTATAACGTCTGATCCAATGAATATAGTTGTGCTACTGTATTGTTTAGGAAACAATAATAACCCGGGGCTGGGGCTGTAGCTCAGTGATAGAGCACTTGACTAGCACGTGAGAGGCCCTGGGTTCCATCCTCAACATCACAGTAGAAGGTTGACTTTATTTAAGCATAGGGAATGTGTGCCTATAATCCCAGTCCTCTTTGGGAAGCAGAGACAGGAGGATCAGAAGTTCAAGGCTAGCTTGGCTATATTGAGTATGAGGTTAACTACATGAGATCTTGTTTCCAAAGCAAGCAAGTAAGAAAATAAGAAAAAATGAAGAAAAGAAAAGAAAGGAGAAGGAAGGACAGCTGGGTTTTGACTAAAGGATTAAGAATGGCACACCTATAGGTCTAAGAGTGGAGGTGTTAAAGTTACCCTGTGGCCTGGACTTGGATAAGTAACTGCCTGAACAGTTCTTTTGAGTATGGTATATATTAATTGTCATTAAAGCTAATTATGCTATTTTTTTTTTGTCTCAGTCAGCGTCACTTATATTCCAGGCTAGCTTTGAACTATTATATAGCCAAGAATGTCATGGAATTCCTGATCCTCTGTTCCCACCTTCCAAATGCTGTGACCTCTGGAACGTGCACTGTCGTGCCTGGCTTTAAGTGTGTGTGTGTGTGTGTGTGTGTGTGTGTGTGTAGGGGGGAGAGTGTAGTATGTGTATGTGTGTGTATGAGAGAGAGATGCAAATGCATGTGAGATACGTGAATGTGAGTCATGGTTTTTTAATTTTTATTTTTTATATTAATCACAGGTTATTTACTTTGTATCCCAGCTGTAGCTCCCTCCTTCATTCCCTCCCAATCCCACCCTCCCTCCCTCATCTCCTCCCTGTCCCTCTCTAAGTCCACTAATAGGGGAGGTCCTCCTCCTCTTCCATCTGACCCTAGTTTATCAGGTCTCATCAGGACTGCCTGCCATGTCCTCTTCTGTGGCCTAGGAAGGCTGCTCCTCCCTCGGGGGGGGAGGGGGAGAGGCCAAAGAGCCAGCCATTGAGTTCATGTCAGAGACAGTCCCTGTGAGGCATGTTTGTATGAATGTGTATGTGGGATTGTTTGATGTTTGTGTGAGTGTATGTAATGTGTGTGAATGTGGCTGTGAATGTGTGTGATGTGTGTGTGTGTTTGTGAGTGCTGATGTGTAGACAGAACATCATCCATGAAGAGGTCAAAGGACAATTTTCAGAAACTGGCTCTCGCCTTCCACCATGAAACTCCATTTCCCTGAGTACAAGCCAAAACTACAGATAGTCTATAGGACTGAATCCCAACACTACCGTCTCCTCCCTTTATAAAAATATCTATCTATCTATCTATCTATCTATCTATCTATCTATCTATCTAT